TTTACTTTTCATTTTGTGCATGGATGTTTATGATATTTGTTTTGGAGGTGTGTTAATGCAAAAGAGCCCAAGTGTACTTGGTTAACACCATCCCATTGCATATATAAGCTGTACATTGCAATCGATAAAGGCAAACTACTCCACAACAAAAAATGAGTGTTTAATAGCAATTTTGGGTTTCAAGAAAACTTTATGCATATTTATATGGTTCTTAGATATTCCTAAAAGGTGATCATGGTATAGTTACTTCATTATTGAAGTGGAAGAACCTAGTTGGTCGTATTGCTCAGTGGGTTTTGAAGCTTCAGATATATTATTTTGATGTTGTTCATCACCTAAGGAGTTCTATGGCTGATGCTAATACCCTTTTTCAAACTCCTTTTTCTTCTTTAATCTTTTCTCATGTTTCTGATGAGCCTGTTGTTTCAGTATCTATAAATTTTCTAAATGAGGATTTTATGCCATCGGCAATTGTACTTGACGTTCAATGTCCACAAAGTGCAGAGCAAGATTTACCTTCTCTTGATGAGGTTCATGAGGCTTAAAAGATTGAGCCATGGTTTTGAAGGCTAGTTGAGATTCTTACATCACTTACTAATGACTTGCCATTCCAGCATTTACATTTTCAATATCGCCTTGAAAATGGCATTCCTTATTTTATGGGGATGGATCCTGATAATCATTTATAGCTGGTGGTGCTTTTAATTTTTATTGCATGGTTTCTTCATGCCAACCATGTGTAAGCTCCTGAATTTGGACTTCCCAGGAGGTCACCCAGCCTAATACTATTCAAACCCAAGGACGTTTAACCCCATATATCCCAAGACCCTTAATTAATTGGAAAACGGGGTGCACTCTTGTCCATGGGCCCTTTCCCTCTATATTTGAACCCCAATGGATCATCTCTCGAGTCGTTCTCTTTGGTTGTTTACACCATGATTCTCCTATTCTAGGTGGGTATATGGGATATTGTTGTGTGACTGAAAAGCTGTACATGTCTTTCTATTAGCTGAAGATGTGATGTGATATTATTTGGTATGTGTGTAGCTGCATTTGGTGCCAAGCTCGTAATACTCCCCCTTGTGCTAAAGAAGGACGGTTGGAGTCAATTGCAATTTCTCATCCATTTGAGTTTATGGCGTTTGATTTTATGGGACTTTTTCCACAATTGAGTATTGGCAATGAGTATATTATTATTACTTTTGATTACTTGACTTGCTAGGTGGAAGTTGATGTTCTTGCTAGTGCCTTCATAACTACTGTTGGATACTTCCTCTTCAATTGAGTGGTGTTCCAACATTCTTTCAAATAATGGTCCTATATTTATGGCTGAGGCATTTAATGTTTTTACGTCTCAATTGAGGATACGTCACACTTTCACGAATGCTTATCATCCACAGTCAGACAGTTTAGTGGAAGGGCTCATTTGGACATTCAAAGGGATCATCGTGAAGTATATGAACTTTCAGCATTCGAATTGGGATGGTTATTTGCCATCTTTTCGATATGTATATGTTATAGGGGTGCAAAGTTCTATTGGTGTTTCACCATATAAATTTTTATATAGTCATAATCCAATATAACCAATGGAATTAACTTGACCTTCAAGATTACCATGAGATACCAATACTAAGTCATGGGATTAATATTTGAAAAACATTCTTCCACTTGTCTGAGCAAAGTTTGGTGAACAATTGGGTTGCATACAAGTGGGACAATAAAGTGCTATAACTTCCATCATCATCCACTTGCAAAATACAAAATGGATGACTTAGTGTTAGTCTATTTTCCATATAACGCACTTTATCTCTCTCCCTTAAGCTAACTGGAAAAGGCTTGGTTTGTGGATGCTCCACCAAGAGGAAGGACATATGTATGGATGCCTAATATGTACGATTTCAACTTTACGGGTAGGAATATATCTTGCTCAAAGGTATATTATACTTTTAAGTAGCTACTAATCAATGGGAATAAAACCCATGCCATTTGCTTCGAACCACATGAAGTGCACTTTATTTTTCTCTCTTTAAGCCAATTGGAAAAAGAGTAATTACTTGATGAAAAAGCCCTTAATGGCTATTTTATCCCCATTTATCCTTTAAAGTTCCAAGGATCCATTGTGACAATATATTAAAATCTCATCCCATGATCGCATACACTATAATTTTTTGGTTTATCTAAAAGGCTCTTTTTTGAGTGGAAAGGACCATATTGAGTGTTGCGGCAAGTTGGACCACAAATTTATGAAGTTTGGCATGATGTCTAGTAAATTGATCCTCGAAAATTATGCATGTGTAGTAGTTAAAATGCTTCATACAAAGGGATTATAAACAAATGGTACTACCTACAAATCCACTAATGCCTTCTGTTCTTCCAAATCCCGGCCTATCTACAAGAGAACCTTAATAGTCTTCCATTATTCTGAGAGGAGGGGATGATATAAGATATAAGTGTATGGCTACGATGCCATATATTAATATTACCATAATGGGATTTTAGTAGCCATTATATTGGTTTCAATCCGGACCATTCACTCTTGTATATAAATTAGGGCTTTTTAGTTAATTGATATGCACACTTTCTATATTCCCTTTCCATATTCTATGCACTCATTATATGTGTGTGTATATGTATGTATATATATATAGGAATAATATTTAAACTTATAATAGTAAAAGTGTATTATAAAAGATTTATATATACAATACCTTTAAAAATATAAAACAAAAACATAACTTAATAATTTTTAAACATTAATATTACCTTAATATTTACATAATAATGTCAACCATACCATTACCTTAATTTTATGTTTTTAATTTTAAAATAAATTTAATTTTTTATTTTTTATTATTTGTGGTGCAGCACTATTTCTTCTTAAATATTTAAAATAAATAAAATACAAATATTTAAGGAAATTTTGCTAAATAGGAGAAAAATATGAGAGTCATTTTATATTGTTACAAATGGTGAATAAAAAATAGATGTTAAATTATATTTTTTTATGATGTTAAGTTTCTTATAATAATTATAATATAAAATGTTATGTTTTCATATAATAAAATTTGCAATATCACATAAAGTTACAAAAATTGCATTAAATGTTTTGCATCTTATTTATTATGCTATAGTAAAAAATTACAATACAATTAACTTTACAACATTTTTTACTTTTATTTACTAAAAAGTTATCTATAATGTTAGAGTTTGGATTAAAAAATTTTTAAAGTTCACTATGGTCATAAGGTTAGTAGTGGGTAATTTTTTTAAACAATGCAATATCTTTAAGTGGGAGATAAACATTAATGTTGTAATTTATAATAAAGTTTTGCAATATAGAAAAACTCATTATGTTACATCTTGTAACATTAAATTTCCAAAAAATTGTTTTATTATTTTGTATTATCTATTTTGAAGTTAGCTTTTTTATTTATTCATGTTAATCAAGCTTTTTATTATTCAAATAATTCCCTAATGGGCTAAACAAAGTTTACTTTAATAGTTTATTTTCATTATTGTTCTCAGATGTGTCCTTCAACAATGGTACTCGCAAATGCCGATCTCACCAAACCCGGCATCCTTGTTGATCCTCACTGGATGCAGCCATACTGGTATCATAGCTCAAGGACTGGAGGAGTTTTTCTCCAATCGACCATGGAATCTACTGCTGCATGGTGGGCGTCTTTGGATGAGCCAAGCATCTGGGTGAAGCCCAGGAGGTTGTCGAGAGCATGCCTTTCGAGCCGGATTCGAGTGCCTGGCTGACTCTACTGTCCAATAGTCATGGGGACTTCGAGAGGGGTGATGGATCTTGACCGGAAGAAATCGTTACCTTATATACTTTTGTCGAATATGTACGTTTTTTCACGCTAAAACGCGAGGAGCGTTCTGGCAACCAACGAGTTACATTAGAAGCGCACAAACTTAAAGGTTTTCTAAACGCGATTGGCTCCATGGCTCTCATCTCGGCCTGTAACTTCCATCTCGATCCGTTTTTGCTCGTCCCGAGTTCTCTGAATTTGCTCTAGAGAAAACAAACTCGTAAGTTGCCATCTTCACTGAGAGATGGCTAATCTTTCACGTACGTACATGAACTCTGCTCATCAATCTTTTCCTCTTCTGCTGCAGGTGACTGTACTTTCTCTGGCTTTCACGCTGCTCCATGTCTTGAGCGAGGGAGACGAGGAGCTGCTTAGAACACTGTGGCCACTTAGAGCAGAGCACGGAGGAACTTGGACGCTGCCGAAGCAAGAAAAACAATTACGCGCTGCATGTGGTCATTTCCTTTTGCTCCTTTTAAGGACACGGTAAGCTGCGATAGGGTATGGCTACTATCTATGTTCCCCAGAAGAGGCAAAAGCGGCACTGGGATGGTATGATCACGAATGGCAAGGTGAGGGGTAGAATCACAGGTACTCTGGATCATCGCATCTGGTCCCAGCTGCCTTTGGAAATCCAGCTCCACATTCTAAACTTCTTGCCAGTGCCGGCACTTTGCCGTGGAAAGAGTGTCTGCAAGGCTTGGAAGTCCGCAATCCAGGGCACCAGAGCTCAAGGGCAGTGGTATATCATGGATGGTTACTGCAGTGTTGGGCTCTGTGATGGAAATTCCAGATCTCTTTCATGGAAGATGATTAAGATTTTCAAACCTTTGGAGGAAAGAACAGAACATATCTGTGTGTCTTCTGCCGGGTTTGTTCTCGCATACTTTATTTTGGACAGGTTACAAACTATAGTGGTGTTCAACCCCTTGAATTTAAGGTCCTTGGTGAAGCTGCCTCGACCACCTGGTTCTAACCTCATACTTTTCGTGGCAATCCAATCTTCAGTTGGTAGTTACCACAGGCCTTGGTTTTCTGTGATTTGTCTCCGGGGAATCAAGCCAACGATGACAGGTGCACGCCATCTCGTTCTACAAGTTTATGATTCGAGAGTTCACAAATGGGTCTCGTCTTGTCGAGTATTCACAAGCAGAGATGAAATTGCCTAGGTTTCCTTTCATGACGCCACCAATTGCATGCTTCTACGGGAGGACAAGCTTTACTTTATCACGATCACAAAGAACAACACCAGGTCGCTCAAGTGTGTCAACGTGTGGGATTCACACGGCAAGGTGGCGACTTTGGCAACGTGGACGAGCCTTCCCATGGGCTTGCATCAAGAAACATACGACGCCCCATGCCGGTACAATAACACCTCACTTGTTTACTGCGCTGGTAAGTTTCTTCTTTTTCTTTTGGGATATCTACATGTTTGTGATTACTGAGTTTCAGGAAAGCTGGTGCTTGCAAACTTGATTCCAGACAGTGTCGATGCACAAACCCAAGTTGGTTTTGTCTATCTGGATGAAGCATCCAGACAGTGGCAACCCTTGGCAACTATGCCTAGAGAGAATATGCCGGCAGAGCTTAGAAAAGTTGGGCTGCGAGCAGGCAATATGCGTGAGTGGAGTTTGATAGTGGCGGGAGGGGAGACGGAGATCACCTTGTTCATAACTCACTTAACGTTCGGTTGGGGTTGCATTTACAATAAGGAAACCGGTATCTGGCGACCAGCTTGTGGCCTAAGGTCCGAAGGTGGTATGCTGTATCCTTTCAAGCCATCATTCCATCCAGTCTCCATTTAGTTACTCCCATTAAAGTTGCTATTTTGTGGTGTCATGAATGAGTATGGGAGGTGAAGAAATTCATAAAAACTTTTTTTTTTCAAACTGTGAGTGCATGGAATATGGAAAGGGAATACAGAAATGTGCATATCAATTAGCCCAAAAACCCTAGCTTATATACAGGAGCGAGTGGTCCGGATTGAAACCAATCCGACGGCTACCAAAATCCCACTACGCTAATATTAGTATACGGCATTGTAGCCGTACACTTGGCCCTCACATCATCCCCTCCTTTCGGAATAATAGAAGGCCGTCAGGGTTCTCTTGTAGATGGGCCGGGATCTGGAGGAACATCAGGAGGAGGCATCGGTGGATCTGTAGATGGTATTAACTGCTCCTGATCCCTTTGTATGAAGCGTTTTAACCGCTGCACATGCACAATCTCCGGAGGATCGGCCTGCTGAACGTCATGCCAAACCTCATAAACTTGTGGTCCAACTTGCCGCAACACCCGATACGGTCCTTTCCACTGCGCAAGGAGCCCCTTAGATAAACCACGTACCGTAAGATAGGGAAAACGGACTAACACCAAATCATCCACTTTGTACTCCGCAGGTGGACGATGATGGGAATTGTAGCGCCGTTGTTGTCCCACTTATACGCGGCCTAAGTGTTCAGCAGACTCTGCTCGGACAAGTGGAAGAATGCTTGTCAAATATTGATCCCATGACCTAGCATCAGGAGCTCGTGGCAATCGCGAAGGTAAACCTAGCTCTGTTGGTAATATTGGATCATGACCATATAGAAGTTTATATGGTGAAGCACCAATAGAACTCTGCACCCCTGTGACATAAGCATACCGAAGAGACGGCAAATAACCATCCCAATCCGAATGTTGAAAGTTCACATACTTCGCAATCATCCCTTTGAATGTCCGAACGAGCCGTTCCACCAGACCGTTTGATTGTGGATGATAAGCACTCGTAAAAGTGTGGCGTATCCCCAACCGAGATGTCAAAACATGAAATACCTCAGCCATAAATGCAGGACCATTATCCGAAAGAATCCGCTCTAGACAAGAATGCTGGAACACCACTCGATTGAGGAGGAAGTATCCAACAGCAGTTGCAGAGGCACTAGCAAGAGCACCAACTTCCACCCAACGAGTCAAGTAGTCAGAAGCAATAATAACATACTCATTGCCAGCAGTTGATCGCGGAAAAGGTCCCATAAGATCAAACGCCACCAACTCAAATGGACGAGAAACTGCAATTGACTCCAACTGTCCTTCCGCAGCACAAGGGGGAGTATTACAAGCTTGGCACCAAACGCAGCTACGCACATACCAGATAATATCACGTCGCATCTCTGGCCAATAGAAAGATCTGCGCAGCTTCTCAGTGACACAACGGTGTCCCATATGCCCACCTAGAATAGGAGAATCATGGTAGGCATGGAGAAACCGCGGAATAAACACCGAAGGCACCACCAGCCATAAATGATCATCAGGATCCGTCCCCACAAAATAAAGAAGGCCATCTTCAAGGTGATATTGAGAATGTAAATGCTGAAAAGGCAAGTCATCAGCAAGTGATGCATGATTCTCAAACCCATCTCGAAGCCTTCGAATCCACAGCTCAATCTTTTGAGCCTCGCGAACCTCATCCAGAGAAGGTAGATCTTGCTCTATGCCTTGTGGACACTGAACGTCAAGGACAGCAACCGCTGACGGCACAGAATCCTCATCTAGAAAATCCACAGATGCTGGAACAACAGGTTCATCAGAAACATGAGAAGTGAGTGGAGAAGGAAGAGGAGCTCGAGAAAGGGCATTAGCATCAGCCATAGAACTCCCTGGGCGATGAACAACATCGAAATCATATATCTGAAGCTTCAAAGCCCATCGAGCCGTACGACCAACCAGGTTCTTCCGCTTCAATAATGAAGTAACAGCAGCATGGTCACCTTCAAGTAACGTCCGAGAACCATGTAGATATGCATGAAGTTTCTCGAAACCCCAGACTGCTGCTAAACACTCCTTCTCCGTTGTGGAGTAGTTCATCTCCGCTGGTTGTTACGTACGGCTTATGTATGCAATGGGATGGCACTGACCAGGCACACTCGAGCTCTCTTGCATCAACACACCTCCAAGACCAATGTCAGAAGCATCCACGCGCAAAATAAAAGGTCGAGTGTAGTCAGGATATGCCAAAACCGGAGGAGTCGTCAATAGGTCTTTGAGATTCACGAACGCCAGCTCACAATCGGGAGACCAGATGAAAGATGACGTTGATGACTTCAGCAACGCTCGCAATGGTGTAGTGCGATCGGAAAGATGATCCACAAAACGACCGAGATACTGCACCTTACCCAAAAAGCGCTACACATCATTCACACACTTCGGAGTAGGGAACTTTAGAACAGCCACAAGTTTGTCAGGATCAACTTGCAAACCCTCACGAGAAATACGGTACCCAAGATAAGTTGTGTCCTTGGACCCAAACACGCACTTCGACCGCTTCAGCTTTAAACCAATGTCGCGTAGCCGATCCAACACTTTACAAACATCACAAACATGCTCCTCCCACGTCCCCTCCAAGTGGATCAAGACATCATCAATGAAGTCAGCCGTTACCTCTGGCATATCGCAAAGAACCTCGTCCATCATCCGTTGAAAAGTTGCTAGAGCATTGTTCAAACCAAACGGCATCACCAAAAACTCGTACAAACCAAATGGTGTACGAAAAGCAGTCTTAGGAATATCTTCTTCAGCCATCGGTACTTGCCAATACCCAGAAGCAAGATCTAGCTTGGTGAACCAACGACTTTGCCCCAGACGATCCAAGAGATCAGCAGTGTGAGGAAGAGGGTACACGTCCGGGATCGTCACTTCATTTAACGGACGATAGTCGATGCAGAAACGAATACTCCCATCAGGCTTCGTCACAAGATGAGGTTCACATGCCCAAGGACTCCGCGACTTCCGAATAACACCCTTCTCCAACATCTCCTTGACGTTTGCACGTAAAATCTTGATCTCCTTGGGTGACCGACGACGAACAGGAACCTTGATTGGACGAGCATCCCCGGTTGGAATGGGATGATGTGTGGCAATCTTGGCCCCAGACGATAGGTCAAATTCAAAGAGATCAGAATACTCCTTCATGAGTTGGTCAACAGCTGTAACACAAAGATCATCGGAGGGATCGGAAAAGGGAAGAGCAGAACAAGATGGAAACACAAGAGGAAATAGTGGGGGAACAAAAGTAATGGAAGCAGAGGTAGAAGTAGAGGGACGAAGAGGTACGGAAGTGAGAGGAATGGATGAAACATAAGGAAGTATGAGACAAGGGGGAGAAGCCTCAAAGTCACACTTGGCATGATTGTGCTGCAACCAATCCATACCAAGAATGAGGTCAAAAGCTTGACTCGGCACCACCCGCAATGACTGCAACTCAAGCTCGAGATCGCCCACACGCACAACCAGGTCCGCCTCATCTCGTGCACATGCATGTGTACGGCCGTTGCCATAAAGAATGAAAACTGGATCCGCCGCACGACGCAAGTGTAGACGACAACGTGTGGCAACAGGTCGAGCAATAGAAGATAAACTCAAACCTGTATCAACCAACACGGAGAGAAGAATAGGAGACCTCTTGTTATAAAAACGAGCTTGGAAAGTAAACACTGGATGAACCGGTGCCGAGTGAATCCCTTGATGATACTCCCGAAAGAAAGATGGAGGGGTCACTAACTTATTCGCGCAAGGTCCCTCCATTACTCGCGCGACTCCTCGTTTCCCGAATGCACTTCGGTATCCAAACCTTCCACCGCAGCAGCACCAATGGGACGTTGCTGACGCCAAGGTCTCCACCCAGGAAATGGAGGTCGCCAATCCGGAAAGCGCCGACAACGCCGATAAGTATGACCAACTTCATCACACGCCCAGCAACGAACGTCACGGCCATGACCACGTATTCGCCCTTGTCCTTGGACTCGAGTAGCAGCAGCATCAACCTCCATGGGAACAAGACCATCACTCATAGGAAGTGGAGCTGAAGGACGTGTAGCAAGAAGTGGAAGAGGCGACGTCTCATAACGTTGTGCCAAGCGAAGAGCATCATCAAGAGTGGTAGGAGCAAGTGCATGCACAAGTCCGACAAGATCTTGACGAAGTGCTGGCCACAACATTCCTAGCTTGATCCGCTCCGACATATTTGGCTCCGCACGAAGCAAAAGACTTCGGAAACGAACGCCAAATTGCATCACCGACTCAGATGGCCCTTGGCGAAGACGATGCAATTGTTGGAAGGCATCATCATAATCGTCGGCGTGTCCGAAGGCGCGTTTGAAGACGTCCGGAAGAACACTCCAATCGCCACGAGTAGCTGCGCTCAATCCATTGTACCACTGCAATGCCGTCCCTTGGAGACATGTGGGGAACTCACGCAAACGTCAAGCATCATCCCAAGAATGATATGTGGCAATCACCATGAAGTGATCGAACCAATAGTACACATCATCCCCAGGATTCCCACGAAAGAACTCCGGCCGAACGCGAGGATTGGCACCAAAAGCAGGAGGAGTTGTACCATGTGCCGTGAACGCCGCCATCAACTGAGTTTGGTTGTTCAATTGCAAGCGCATAGCATCAAGCAATTGAACCAACTGCTACTCTAGAGTCAAAGGAGGAGATTGCGGATCGGCCATGAAAATGAATGAAAAAGAAAGAGCAAAAGAAGAGAAATGACAAAATGCTGGAAAGAAATGGTAGATCTAGACAATGCAAAAAGCTAGATTTAAACCAAAATCCTGAAAGGAAAGAACAAAAGAAAGAAAATGGAAAAAGCTAGATCTAAACCGAAATCCCAAATCCAAGCACTCCCCAGGGACAATCAAAGGTGCCCCTCATCTCCACCAATGTGAGTGCATGGAATATGGAAAGGGAATACAGAAATGTGCATATCAATTAGCCCAAAAACCCTAGCTTATATACAGGAGCGAGTGGTCCGGATTGAAACCAATCCGATGGCTACCAAAATCCCACTACGCTAATATTAGTATACGGCATCGTAGCCGTACACTTGGCCCTCACAAAACAAATATCCTTCATAAATACTTAATTTTTTAATACAACATTTTTTTCCAGGTTCCAGTTTTATTGTGAGGACATTCAACACAACAGCTCCCCAAATTCACAAAGGTAATTGCCCAGATATTTCATGTCACTAAACAAAACTCCACGACCTTGCAAAAGTTCTATTACAACCATCTTGCGACGGGCAGCCTCCAATTCATCTTCAAACAGATCTAGATCGTAAGGTTCTAGCTTCATAGAGCCAGGTTTGTGGATTTAAATCCAGAGCAACACTCACACTGGGCTGAAATTTGGTATTGATTTCTGTTAGAAACATTATCTATCAAACCACACCCGATTATCAGGTAGGTACATGGCTTTTTTTTTTCTGGTACTGGTCACTTTTTCCTTCCATATCAGCCAGCTGGAGTTGTGGTTATATAACGTATTGCGCTGAGAGAAATCTGCAGAATGCCAATGAAGTTATACAGCGTTTGCCATGGACAGGGCGATCATTAAGCTTGGAAATACATTTTTCTACGGGGATGGAGTGTTTGCGTTGGAGAAAAATTTTTATGGGATGCCTCTGAGGATCTCTGCCAAAGAAGGAGATTTTGGAAGAGTCATTAGTGAGAGACGTTATCAAACTCAATATCAGCCCAGCAGCACCATTGCTGGCATTTGAGTGTAGAACGGAAAAGTGCGTATCTTTGGCTCGTTGCTGCCAACAGAAATTTGAGGCAGATCAGCAGATTGGCTTACATCCTTCTCCTTTTTCTTAGGCCCTTTTTTGCAGAAGCAGAATGATCGAGATCTCCCAGATCCATGGCGACGCTGTGGCTGCTGTAGATGATTGGAAACAGCATGTCGCAGAGCACCGAGGTCATGGCAGCCATCTGGGAGGACGTCTCGGGTCTCAAAAACGCACACTACTGCAGGAAGCTTGAGGAGAAAGAAGGAAAGTTAGCCGAATTTCCATGCCGATTTGCGTTGACCGACACCAACCTGATATGTTTCATTGTGATGGTTGGACAGTTTCACTTGAAACCAGGCAAGCAGCTGCCTCCGGTTTTGCAACCTCCACCGTCCTAATTGGAAAAATGCTCTATGGGACTTGCAAGCAGCCGAGAACTCTCGGCCTGGAATCAAAATGGTTTGCAAACCAAGCCTTGCGTATTCCGGAGAATGCTCCACCAGGCTCCACCACGGTAACCATCGCGACAAGACCACCTTCGTGCCCGAATTGCCCGAATCAGAAACACAGCCTGGGAAGCAAGGGTCTTGATTTATTCTGGCGTGTTGATCTTGTTGGTGGTAGCATTTGTTGGATTGGCCTTAAGAATTTGAGGTTCGAACAAATCGAGAGACCCGGCAGTGCTCATATTATTGTTTCATCGTGTTCTTGTGTGAGATGGCAAAGTATACAACACTGCCTAGCATTGTACAAACCATATTCGTCGTGCTTTACTACATGCTTGGGTACTCTTGACAAACTGGATACTTTCTTTCGGTTACGTTCTTCACCACCTTTCCTGTCTAAGACTAATAAGACTACAAGCTCTCTTTGATTAACATGCCTGACCAACATCCTTTCACAATTTGGACACGTCGGGTATCCAAAACGCTAAAACATATGAGGCAGTCGCAAACATGAGCCTTCGCGGAGCCCATTTCACCACGGCAGGAATTCCAGCGTTGTTCGTCCAGCACGCTACCTGGAATTCAATCAAAATAAGTCTTTTTTTTCCTCTTTTTTAGCACGAGAATTTCTCTCACCTCTGCACCGCTTAAGGAGCTCCATATTCTCAAACTTCCATCCCCGGAGCCTGAGATTCAATACTTATAGCTATCAGGAACTGATACAAACGAATGTTACCTGAGATAACATAGCGACCGTCTGGACTGAACGATGCTTCCAACGTTTCTCCGTCTCGACTGGGCTTGAGCGTGAATCCATGCATCTGGGAAGGAGCTCGGTATAGACTTAACGAGCGAAAGAGAAGTTTACCTTCTTTCCAGAGTAGGCATCAAGCAAATACACCCGGCTGTTTGTTGTGGAGAGAAGCATCATTTTGCCATCGTTGCTAAACTTCATGCCAGCGACTTCCGCGGTATCACCACCCACGAGAAAAGTGTCAAAAGGTCCCTGAAGCATTCGTTCGGACTTTCATAAAATTATTGGAGAATCAATCACTTCTTACCTTGTCGAAAGACCTTACGTCAAACAGCTTGATTGCTCCGCCTTCCATGGCAACAGCAAATACCAGGCCTTGTTGATCATACGCCACAGACGGTCTTCCCCGGACTCTAAGAAGACCCTGAAATCATGGAAATGCTCTAGCCAAAGTTCTGGAAGAAAACGCAAGGAAAGAGTTTTTCTTACTTGGCAAACATTGCTGCGAAGATCCCACAACCGGACAGTGTGATCCAATGACCCAGACATGAAAGAATCGTTCTTTGGAGACATACATAGTGATACAACCCTGTGAGGAAAAGAAATAAAATAAGCATGGCCTTGGGTTGCTCCAAAGACTCACCTTTGCGTGTGTCCTCTGAAATATCGTAGAAATCTATTATCATACAACGATAGATACCGCAAGGACTCTGGAAACAAAGAACGAACCTCAAACACACAAAAAACGTTCTCTCTTACCATCACTTCCATTGCTGGAGGAAAAAATCACAGCATTGGTGTGATGCGTGAAACATATGTGATCCACGCCATATCTTGCACTGTAGAGAGTCTTCATGGGCCTGGATGGAGCAAAGAAAAGGAAACTTGAAACCTCCCAAGAACTCGGGGGGAAAAATCACTTACGTCGCACTGGCAGTATCGTAGAGCCGAATGGACGCGTCCTCCGCGGCAGTCACCATGAGATCCTCCGTGCGATGAAAATCCAAGGAGCTGATCTTCCCCCCCTGCCGCATTGCTCGTTTGCCAAGATTCTCGACGCATTGCTAGCAGCTCTACTTACACAATCCTTGAAGACCGCGCCCACAGACATGTTCTTGACGACATCCTCCGCGATTTCCATCGCCCCCGAGAAATCGCGGCTATGGCGCCACTGCGAATTTGCCCTACCACTAGTGCTCTGTTTTAGGGCTCTTTACGAGAATATTCGACTATATTCGCCTTTTAATGAGAGTATTCCGTTATATTCGAAAATGATTAAAAGTCTGTTAACAATGAAATTATAGCTAATTAGCCGCCTCTTCTGTGACCATTTCTTCAATCACTGGCTGCTCGAGCGGCTTATCTTCATCCATTGGGGCCTCGGATTTCTGGCACAAAAGAGAAGAACATTTGGTGTAAAGAGATTTGGATCCAGAAAACTTAGAAAACAAACCTGTTCCAACGCTTCGAGCTTGCTCAGCCTTGCGAACATGTTGCCATAGAGCTTGGCTTCCTTCTTGTTGTATTCTACTTGCTTTTGCTTCAGTGACTTGTACTCCATTCTCAAGTCCCTGTAAGATAAACGCGTGAGCCCTGGTTTGATGCAACGCGATTAAACTATCTTACCGGTTTTGTGGATCAATCTCCAACGCTTTCTTGATATCAAACTCGGCCAGGTCCAAATCTGCAGTGCGCGTGTAAGCTTGAGCTCTGCGGTAGAGAGCCTTTACGTTCTGCGACTCCAGCTCAAGCACCTAGAAATTCAAATGTAAGAAAACAGGTAGACAAGCGAGGAGACTCTCTAACCTTCGAGCAGCACTTGATTGCGTCTTTAAACTCGTTGAGCTTCAGCTTTGACGCAGCGTTGTTCAAGTTGCAAGAGACTTTGAGTGCCTTGGCTTGTTTCTTCTCGTCGTCACTAAAGTTGGAGTCGTAGTCAATAAACTTCAGGGCCTGAAATCCTTGTCAGGATGCAATTCATAATAGGAGCGATCGCATATTACCTGTTCGTACTTCTTTGAGGCACGAGCAAATTTACCAGCTTTGTATAGAACATTGCCCTCGTCCTTACGGACGGTGGCTTCTTGCAGCTTCTCCTCTGCTTTGTGCAAGTCCCACGAGTCCTTTGCCTAAACAGAGCAAGTTAGGACCTAGAAAATCACTGCAACGGAGATTACCTTCACAAAAGAGATCATTTCCACCTCATAAACCAGGGTAGAATTGGCAGGAACCAAAGCGAGATCCCGTTGAGTATCAACGTCTCCAAACCCGTGCTCAGGACCAATGGTAACAACTGCAACTTCTCCTTTCTTCATCGTCGCCACCGCCTTGTCCAACCCATCAATAACTTGTTCTGAAAGAACTAAAACAAGTTAGCAACGGAAAACCCAGATTGACAAAAGACCTTCATCAGTTTTAAACTCGAAGGGATCCTCGTCGTCGCCTTTCTTCTCAAACACAGTGCCGTCCAAAAGCTTGGCCACATACTTGACTGCATTATCATTATCGTTAACAGAGAGCACGAGATGGTTTTAAGAAACTCACTTTTCACAATGGTTCCATCGTTGGGTTTGTCATGTCCTTCACTCGCCTTGATAATCTTCTTCGTAATTTTGCCATCTTGGCCGATTTTCTCAACAGTTTTCCAAGATACCAGCTCCAGATCGATAGAAAGTGTGCCCTGCGATTCGCCAAGACCATCTAGACGATCCAACGCATTAGAAACTTAGCTAAACACACACACAAACATCTCACATTTCGGCCTCACGGTCAGCAAAGCTTTTTCCCCCTTCATCATCGTCTTGACAGCAATGGCAAGTGCTTCGCAAAAATGACCTGCGTTATCCGAACATAGATTAAGCACATCTTCAGCATAACGAACGCGAGTCCTTACCTTGGTGAACATAAAACTCTGCCCCTTCCTCAGGAGACTGTCCAACTACAAGCCCAGCTTCATTCTTCGCGACGTACTTCACTGAAAGTAGTAGTGCAAGTGAGTCAAGGACCAAAGCCTGTTAGCCAAAAGCATACCAGTCACTTCGTCGAGATCTTTCGGCATCTCATATTTTTTTCCCTCGGAAACAATCTTCTTCACCACGCCACCATCCTTGGAGATATCCTTGACGCTGTCCCAAGACAAGAGCTCAACGTCAAACTTGAGCGTCGCATTGGGTGGTATGGTTGGCGGCGACCCAGCTTCTCCATAAGCCAAGGCCGGGGGAATGGTGAACACCGCGTTCTCACCCTTCTTCATTGTCTTAATGCCTTCGTCCCATCCCTTGATAACTTGGCCTACACAAGCACGAAGAAAGAAAAATCAACACCAGATAGAAATCCATAACTCGCTCACCTTGCCCAAGCTTGAATGTGAAAGGATCGCCCCTATCCCTGCTCGAATCAAACTTGGATCCATCCAGAAGCGTTCCAGTGTAGTGAACTGCAAGAATCTATCAGCATTGCGACGCCAGGGCGAGAGAGAAGAGCGCTACCTTTCACTTCATCGCCAGGCTCTGGCATCTCCCAGCCAGTTCCGGCCTTGACGAGCAGCTTCTTGAGGCCATTCTTGCCGATCTCTTGCTCCTCGCCGGCCTTGAGCGGAGCCGCCGATGTAGCTTCCATTCCGGCCTCTTCGTCCATACCCGCGTCGGCAATCTCGAAATCGTCCGCCATCGCCAGGAAGAGCACACAACACGAGCCCTAAAACTCAACTCCTTTATAAAAGTCGCAATAGATCCGATGGGTAAGTCACGTGGCGCGATACAAGCCCTTGGATCTCCAATCCAACGACCCGAGACTAATTAAGATGCCAATATCCATAGCCTTCTAGATGCTTCTGCAGGCATATTCTCTCCGGCAAGGCATATTCTCCGAGAACCCTAATTGACAGAGCACGAAATATTTCTCGCCGGGCTAGGGTTTTATAGATCGCGCGATGATTTACACGGCGCTGGATACATTCTATGTCTCCGAGGAACAGCTCAAGGCCTCGCCTTCGCGCAAGGATGGTGTGGCCGAGGAGACGGAGACAATGCTGCGGCTCTACGGCTGCGAGCTGATCCAGGAGAGTGGAATCTTGCTCAGATTGCCGCAGGCGGTGATGGCAACGGGCCAAGTCTTGTTCCACAGGTTCTATTGCAAGAAATCCTTCACGCGATTCAATGTCAAGGTTTGTAATTTTTTTATCCTCTCCATCTAGGTGAGTCGAGACTGTTTTATCTTTGGTTTGAGTTTCACAGGATGACTGAGTGAGATTTTCATGGTGTTTTTTTGTAGAGAGTAGCGGCCAGCTGCGTGTGGTTGGCGGCGAAGCTCGAAGAAAGCCCACGAAAGATTCGAGATGTCTTGAGTGTGTTTCATCGGATGGAATGTAGGCGCGAGAATTATCCTCTCGTGCTACTCGACACAACTTCGAAGGCAAGGATTTCTTTTTCTTTCTTTTGCTTCTCGCTGTTGTGCTCAAATCGATTTTACAGGCTTACGAGGAAATGAAAGTCGATCTAATAAGAACCGAGCGGCATTTACTGAAAGAGATGGGATTCATTTGTCACGTCGAGCACCCGCACAAGTTTGTTCTCAATTACTTGCTCCAATTGAAAGCACCTCTCGAGCTCATCCAGGAAGGATGGAATTTGGCCAACGACAGGTAACTTGCTTTTCCACTTTCCAGTTTTCTTGAGTTTTTGTTTTATGTTCATCTAGCTTGCGGACGACATTGTGTGTGCGTTTCAAAAGCGAAGTTGTGGCATGCGGGGTGGTTTATGCTGCTGCTCGAAGGTTTCGTTACCCTTTGCCAGAAAATCCTCCGTGGTGGCTCATTTTCCAAGCAGATAAGGCCGAGATTGATGTCGTATGCAAAGTTCTTGCTTTTCTGTATCAGCAACCCAAGGCTCACTACGTCGACGTGAGCAAAGGATCAAAGTCGTTCGTTTTGTCAAGCAGTTCATGGGATCCTCCTCCAGATGTTCAAGTAAGAAAAACCTTTTACTGATGAGCGGTGTTTGATGATTTAAACTTTTATCAGGGCAAGATCACTGTGAATGGTACCACTGCTGGTGCTGTTCTTGTCCCGAGTGTGGCTGCTATCGTTTCAGCGGACACCAAAGACGAAGCGCCTCCTATGGCCGATCCAAAAGGAGAAATAGTAGCAGAAAAGCCTGCTATTGATGGTGAAGGCGTCGAGAAAACAAAGGAGAAAGATGAGAAAGACCGTGAGAAGGAGAGAGAACGAGACGCGAGACGCGATCGAGATCGCGAAGAACGGCGAGATAGAGAAAAGAGTAGGGATAGAGAACGGGACCGAGACAGGGAGCGGGACCGGCACAAAGATCGAAGTCATCGAAAGGATAGCAGACGGGATTACAGTAAGTTCTTCGTCTTCTCTCTCGCAAACTTAACGTTTGGAATTGGTAGCAGGCTACTCGAGTGACAAGTCAAGGTACCATTCGTCCAGATCAAGTGATCGCCATCGACACCACTGAATCGATACAACGCTTTTGTACGTGTACGTGATTCTTGATTTAAATCCTCTAACATCGCTTGACCACTTGTTGTAAAAGATAAGAACTGTGCAGATTAGTGACACTCAAAACGCTCGTCTCTTCCAAGATGTCCGGAACATAAGGCATGCTCTTGATAAGATCTCGAGCGTCTTCCAAGTAACCGGCCCTGCAAAGCAAATCAACCATGCAAGCAAAGTGCTGCTTGGTTGGACGAGAAAGATAATCCATTTGCATTGAAACGAAGTAAGATCTTCCACACTCCAACTTTCCAGCATACTTGCAAGCGATCAACACACAAACGAAGAACTCATCGTCGGGAACTCCACTTAAGCACCAGCTATGAAACGTAAAGAACGCCTCCGTGATATGCCCATTATGGGCATACGCTGCCATGAGAGAATTCCATGCTAACAAGCAGCAATGCTGCCATGGTATCGTATCAAAGAATCTTCTTGCATTGTGGATATGCCCGTTTCGGGCATATGCCGCCACCATGGAACTCCAGGCCAGGGAATCCTTCCATGGAATCCTTGAAAAGAGAAAGTAAGTGTAGTGCAAGTGACCCTTTCGGGAGTACGCCACCATCAGAGTCGTCCAAGAGATTACATCTTTTTGGAGCTCTGGAATTCGATCAAACACCTCTTTCGCTTCTTCCAAATGCCCGGCTTGGGCAAATGCCGAGAGAAGACAGTTGCTCACGACTGTGTTGTGCTGCGGGATCTCATCAAACATTTGCTTTGTCTCCTCAAGTTTTTCATTTTCCGCGTAGCTGTTCATGAGAGAGCTCCACGAAACAGGCTCCCGGATTGGAATCTCGTTTAGGAGTTTTCTAGCTCGATCAAATTGCCGGTGTTGGGCATAGAGAAGGATCATCCAAGTTACAGAGACTCGATTGTGTTGCGGCATTTTCGCAAACACAAGCTCTGCCTCGCTAGAATTTCCATCTAAAACGTAGCATTCCAGGAGTGTGTTCCAGGAGACTATAGTTCTATGTGGCATTTTGTCAAATGTTCTTAAAGCCTCGCAAATATGCCCTGCCCGGGCATATGCCGCTATCATCGAGTTCCAGGATATAATATCCCACTCTGGAAAGTGGAATAAAAAAATATTCTCAGCATCAAGGATGGATGCTCGGGTATGTGTGTGGAAAAAGAAAATGGCGCTAAAGGTGATGAGATTCCTCTGTGGAATTCGATCGAACAGCTCCTGGGCTCTATCGAGATGCCCATTCCGAGAATATGCCAGGATCATAATGTTCCAGGAAATGATATTGCGCGACGGAATTTGCTGGAAGATGGCCTGGGCATCTTCCAAGAGCTTGTTTTCCGCGTATGATCCGAGCATCGAGTTCCAGGATGCCAGATCTCTCGCGGGCATCTCGTCGAAGATATCCCTGGCCTGGGAGAGCGATCCCAGCCGGGCGACTGCCGCGAGCATCGAATTCCAGGAGATTAGATCCCGTTGCGGCATCGCGTGGAAAACCTCCACTGCCCTGTTCAGCTGATCGTTGTGTGCGTAGGAGGCGAGCATCGCGTTCCAGGCGACGCAATTGCGAGTGGGCATCGCGTCGAAGAGGAGCCTTGCTTCGTCCGGATGCCCGTTTTGGGAATACGCGCAGAGCATCATGATCCAGGAGAAATTGTCGCGCGTGTCGATCGAGATTCCGCGGAAGATCGCCTCTGCCTGCTTCACATTTCCCGATTTCCCGGATGCCTCGATCATCCTGTTGAGCGCCGGCACATCCTGCTCAAGAACGAAGATCATTGATCTTGGCGCCAAAAGCTCTATTTAAAAATTAGGGCTCTTGGTTCCAGCTAGGGTTCTTGACGATAGGAGAATGTGGTGCCATCGCCATCCACGGCGATACTGAGAATCCCCGGCGCCTGGACATCGAAATGGAAGGTAAGTGGCGGCGGCTCGATCTCCTCCTCGCTCTCCAGCATTCGTACCACTGCATCCATCGTAGGTCTAGCTGCTGGATCTTCTTGCACACACCAAAACGCTGCGTGGATCAAATTCTTCGCCTTTGCCGCGTCGGCCGACGCTCGGATGCTCGGATCCACCACTTCCATCGCATTCCCTCTCTGGACTTCCCTCATGGCCCAGGCCGGGAAGTACGTGTCGACCTTGGCGCAATCCAGGTTTCTCCTCCCGCCGATGAGCTCCAAGAGCACCATCCCATAGCTGTAGACGTCGCATTTCTTGGTCGCTGTGGAGTGCATGAGCCACTCCGGAGCTAGATATCCTGGAGTTCCTCTCACTCCGGTGAGAACTCCATTCTCATCTTTGTCCATGAGTAGCTTCGCCATGCCAAAGTCCGCCACTTTGGCCTCAAACTTGTCACCCAGGAGGATGTTTTGTGGCTTGATATCCAAGTGGATGATCGAGTCTCTGGATTCCTCGTGCAAGTAGGCCAGCCCTCGAGCAGTGTCGAGAGCAATGCTGTGTCGAAGTTTCCAGTCCAGTTTGTTCTTGCTGTCCGAGAAGATCCATCTGTCCAAGGAGCCATTGGGCATGAACTCGTAGACGAGCAGTCTGTGTGAAGCTTCGGCACAAAAGCCGTGAAGTTTGACGATGTTGATGTGGCTTATGCCTCCCAGGGCCTGGACTTCTGCGATGAATTGTTTCTGTGCGTGTTGGGCGCTGAGTTTCTTCACAGCTAGCTTCATCTTGTTGTCAAGAACTCCCTCGTACACGGTGCTGTAGCCTCCTTGTCCCAGCACGGTTGTGAATCCTTTGGTGGCGGAGTGAAGGCCTCGGTATGAGAATTGGAAAGGTGACGCCTCCACACGGGTGAGAAAGCTGCTTAACTCTCTGAGTAAGACGTTTCTTCGATGCAGGGCAGCGAACATCACTGCGAGGATTGTAATAGCAATTGCAGCACTTCCAGAGGTAACTCCGATAACTATATGCTTCGCAGTTTCTGATCTTGGATGGTCCACAGGCACCAACCTGGAGTAGTTCTGGTACTTCAGAAAGCCCACCAGCTGGTTCGCCTTGGATGGATCAAGTGTCAAGCTTCCCAGAACGTCTTCCACGTAAAAACAGTTTTGGAGTGCTCTGTCATAGAAGAATGCAGCGCAGCTGCAAGTGGATTTGCATTCCTCGAGGCATTCTTCCAACGGAGCACCTGTTCTATTCGGAGGATTGTAGCTGTCGGTGATGTATGAAGTGCCTGCCATGGTGACAAAATCGGTCTCATACCTGGTGCTGCAATTCTGAAGCGAGGACCATTCTGGCCTGGAGCATTTTTCAGGTACCGAGGTAGTCGAGTTGTTTGTTTCATTGGTGAAGCACTGACACTGCTTTCCTCTCTCAAACAGTCCGTAGCTCCCGCATGGAACCGGTTGCTGGAAATATTGATCTAAGGTCTCTAGCTGCCAGCTTCCATTGGCGAATTCTCGCCTGAAAGAAACGATGATTCCATCGTTTCCGAACTGGAAATACCTCATGGTAGTGTTTCCTGGGAATATTTTTCCGTTCCGGGAGGAGCCGCACGGCTGCTGGTTACCACCTCCACTACTTACAGGTTCGTATGCCAAGCTGATTTCTCCTGCGGATGATAAACTCACTGCTGTTCTAAATCCTGCGCAGGTTCCAGTGGCTGAGCTTAAACTCGTTCCGGTGAGGCTCCATAACAAGTACGGCTGTTTTGCCTTTGGAGGGTTGCGCATGTACGCTACCATTCCACTCGGCTCGACTTGTAGGATAAACGGACCTTCGCTTGGATCTGAAGCGTCTTTGTTACTTACCAGGACCTGTCCCGTCACTAACTTTTGATTTGGCAGGAGTGCGTTACTCGGATGATCGAAAAACTCCCATACGGTGATCCGAGATTCATTGTAAAGCTGCAAATTCCCCGAATTCTCGATGCCGATGAACGCAGTGCTTTGCTCTGAGGACCACGCGATAGAACCATTCCTATCGAGCAGCTGCAACCGGCCATCCACTCGGGTAAGCATGCAATTCTCAGTTACTGGAATGTCCCGGTTGGCTATCCAGACAGGGGCAGCTGTGGACGAATTGCGAGTGCCAAACATCAATGCCAGGTAGTACTTGTTTGTTCCGTTGAAGTTCAAGAATGCTAAGCCAAAATTCTCATTGTCGCTGAGCAGAAGTTCGCGTGTTCTTGGAGTCCTGCCTTCCGCGACCGCGCTTAGCAAACGATAGCTTCCGGACCTGCCATCACCTGGAGATTCAGGGGCACTCTCATTGATGAAAGTTCTCCATCCCTCGGGTATCGGGTATAGCTTTCCTTTACATCTTACAATTAACAACGCAAGTCGCAGGAGGAACAACGCAACCACTTGCTGCTTCATGAGGAGACCCTCTCTGGATCCTTTTTTCTGGATAGGGAACACACGTTCTCCGCTTGCAAGCTCCAGGAAAACGTGTAGCGACAGTAGCGTGGCGACCTTTCGGGCTTTCAGGGACTAGACTTGACTTGGTTCTTCGGGCTTCGGATTCACTAACGAGAAGAAGCTAAGTTTGGATTGCTTTTTTTCTTTGACTCCTGTTGTGTTTGTGAAGGATGTGACATCCCGTGAGTACCATTCAAATTTCATGTAAAGTTAGCTTCGTCTTTGCAAGGTCAATTTTACCTGTCCTGTTTTTCTTCTCCCGCCTGCAATTTCTGTCCTGTCCAGACTTTCAGGAACTAGACTTGACTGTTTCTTTCGGGCTTCGGATTGACTAAGTGGAAGGAGAAGAAGATAGACCTTGTTTATAGCAATTCAGATTTCATGTATCAGCTAATTTAGCTTCGTCTGTGCAGGGATTGCTGGCACAAAGTAGAGGATCCGCTTGAAACACAGGTCAATTTTACCTTATCGTATCGTGTCATGTTTTTCTTCTGCAATTTCTGTCCTGTCCAGACTTTCAGGAACTAGACTTGACTGGAAGTGAGGCTGTTTCTTTCGGGCTTGGAATTGACTAAGTCGAAGGAGAAGAAGCAGAATCAACTTACAGCTCTAGCAAATCAACAGAGCCCTCTGCAGATGTACGCAATGAAGCTGCTTATTGTCTCAGTCTTCCTGGTGTGGATGATTTCTATACTTGCGCACGGAACCAAGTATCATCTGCCACAAGGGTGGGAAGTAGTAAACAACAACAGGCTGCCAGAATTCACAGCATCACAAGGCAACGCGAGCTATCGGCTGCTCCAAGCGGGTAACACATCCCTCGTAAGTCAGGATGGGAGATTTGCTTTATCCTTCTTCCGATTCAATGACTCGCCCAGGTACTACTTTGCATTAGTCTTTGGTGCCAGCAATTATACGAGCAGCTCAGCATCAGGTGTCTGTGTTTGGAGTGCAAACCGGGACAATCCTGTTACTGAAAATGCGACTCTTCAACTCTCGGATCAAGGTCTGTTGCAAGTTATGGATTCAGATGGAAGAGTGGTCTGGAATTCTCCCCGTGGAGTTTCTGGGATAGAGGTTCAAGACAGTGGGAACGTCGTTCTCTACGACTCCACAGGTGGTGTCTCCTGGCAGAGTTTCGATCATCCTACAGATGTTCTCTTGGAGGGACAGGTTATAGTTACGGGACAGAGCCTCGTGAGCAGCAGCAGTTCATCGAGCCTGTCAAGTGGGAGCATGAAGATGGAAGTTGTGGCAAGCGGTCTTATTTTCTTGCTGGAGCTTGATACCGTGCAGCCTTACCTGGTTTGGAACATGTGGAATGGTAACTTGCCGTCGGACGTGACATCGATCAACACGTCGTGCCCGTCTTATCGAATAGCTCTCCATTATTCTGCTGGAAGTGTAGAAGGGAGATACCAGGCAACAAGAAACAACACCAGTGATCAGCCATGCGGGCCTCCCACCGCCGCAGTACTTGGAAACTATAGCAGCACTGACTTACACTATCTCAAACTTGACATCGATGGAAAGCTGATTCCTTACATCTATAACTTTGGACGAGCTTCGTGGGAATCCGGCCAGCCTTTCATGAGCAACATATTTGGATCCTGCCTCCCGATGACGTGCGAGTCACACAGTGTTTGCGCCGGAAGCTCTCAGTGCAGCTGTATAGTCCAAGGCCAGGATGGGGATCAGGAGCAAACTTGCCCGAGTCCGAGCGACATACCTCTCGTGTGCAACCACGAAGTCGAGGCTGAGAACCACCATTTTTTCAACGTGACTGGAGCAGGCTACTTCTCCAACAATTACACCAAGGCCGACAGAGTTTCCACCTTGAGCGATTGTTGGAACTTGTGCCTATCGAATTGCTCCTGCAGCGCACTCTTTTACAACAAGCAGGCAAGCACCTGTTTTTTCGTCGACCGGATGTATGGAGGCCTCACCAGAGATCCAAACTTCGATGGTTTCCTCAAGCTACAAAACGCAGAGCTTTTTGTGCGGGAGGGGCCCAAGGATCGCACACTTTTGCTTGGAGTGAGCATTGCTGCCGGCTTTGTTCTGCTATTAACCTTGGGCTTGGTCGCGCTGAGAATCTGGAAGCACAAACTCGACAAGGACGCAAGAACTTTGTCTCTGGCACTGCAAGGCTCGGCTCAGAAGTACGCTTACAGGGAGCTTGAGGTGGCGACTGCGAGCTTCTCGTCAAGCGTTGGAAAAGGTGGCTATGGAACTGTGTTTAAAGGGACGCTGGCAGACGGTAGACAGGTGGCAGTCAAGCGTCTGGAAGATCCCAAGCACAGTGAGAAGGGATTTATCGCAGAGATGGCCTCGCTGGGACGGATTAGCCACCACAACGTCGTCCAACTCTATGGCTTTTGCTCCGAGAAGAACCAGCTCATACTCGTCTACGAGTTTATGGCAAACGGATCCTTGGATAAGTGGCTGTTTGAGGATGGCTGCCTGGGATGGGAGATACGCCGGAGTATTGCTCTTGGATTGGCTCGAGGTCTGGCTTACTTGCACGAGGAATCGCGGCAGCTTATCATCCATCTCGACATCAAGCCCGACAACGTTCTTCTCGACGATAAGTTTTGTCCCAAGCTCGCAGATTTTGGCTTGGCAAAGCTGGCCAAGAGCCGGGACGCAAGCCAGACCGTGACTGATGTTCGAGGAACTCCAGGATATCTCGCCCCGGAGTGGCTCTTAAACTCGGCAGCGACGAAGAAATGCGACGTCTACAGCTATGGCATGGTGCTGCTGGAGCTCATAGGTGGGCGAAGGAACCTCTCCAAGCGTTTTATCTTCGGCAGTGGCGGGCACGACGATCGCTCCATGGACGAGGAAGAACGGGCTTTGTGGTGGTACTTCCCGGCCTGGGTCGTGGCTCTAGCGAGAAAAGGGGAGTTTCTCCGGGTTGTGGACGCGAAGATCCGAGACACTGTAGAGGAGGATCAAGTGAGAAAGCTCGTCCAGGTCGCGCTGTGGTGTATCCAGGATGATCCAAGGAGAAGGCCGTCGATGGATGCAGTCGTCCAGATGCTGGAAGGCCGGAGGGAGATTTCGGAGCCGCCACTCTCCTTCCGGTTTGCGTTGAAATCTCCGGGAGTTCTTCGATTTGCTTCCACTGCTTCCATGGGCGTAAGCGTGGCGGTACCGACTGAGCTCTCAGGTCCAAGGTAGCAAAATTTGAATGAGTGGATATGCCTGGAATATGCGAATTTTAAACTTCTATACCGAGCTAGAATATTCTTACATAAAGAGTTGGCATATGCTCTTTTCTAGGGTTTGTGGAAGCTATGGGCAGGGAGGTCTCGACGAGCACTGGATTGCGCTGCTCTGCGCTGGACGCCATCGCCGATCGCCTTAGCGCCTTGCCGGAGCTCTACCTTCCGCATTCGTCCTTCGCCGGGCGCGCGGATCAACAGGTGAGCCAGCAGGAGAAGAAGGATCATCTCGTCTCGCTGCTCCACAGGGACGCGGCTATCTTCCTCGGTGAGTAAAGAATGTCTTGCGATCTTCGATGGAATTCGTGTTGATTTCCTTGTTTTCCTTGCAGAGCGCTATGGGAGCCGGCTCTTGCTGTCGGAGCTCACAGAGTTTGAGTGTCTCAAGGAGGATTACGAGGTGAATTGGCACCTCAAGAAGCTCAGGGCGGCCAAGAATCCATCGCCGGGCGAGCAGCGATCCAGGGCCGCGGCAGTGAAGAACCGGCGGCTTGCGTTCCTGGAGCAGCTTGTGGAGGATGGCAACTATTTCTCCGAGGAGGAGATGAGGATGCGGTGCCCGTTGCTCCATCACGAGTACGTTGGCCAGTTCCAGGAGCCGTCTATCTGGGCCTTCTCGCGGCGCGGGGACAAGATGGCGGACATTCTCATCAGGCAGTCCGAGGAGGCTTTCATCCAGCGCAAGATGGAAGAGGAGCGCAAGAAAATCCTGGAAGTGGAAGAAGAGGAGGAAGAAGAGGAAGAAGATGAAGAAGACGAGGAAGATGAAGGAAAAACAAAAGATGGCGAGCAGCACAAAAATGAAGAGGTGAGTTTTCCATGGTTTTAGCTCCTCGGGAAGAACTCTCTTCGATTTTTTCTTCTAGATTACTGACGGCCTTGCTTGGAATGTGTTGCAGTCATACACTTCCGAGGTTAATGCCTTGTGTTGCTTGCAGCTCTCTGACGATGCCGGGACTTCAAACCAAAGGCAAGCAGTGCCATCGCCACTGCCACCGTCCAGCGACGATCGGCTTCAAGCGTTCTCTCAGGAGATGATGGCCAAGTTCCTCGCTGCTGAGGACAAGAACAAGCTCTCGCCGGAGGAGCTTCAATGTAAGCTGGATGACTTTACCCGCGTGATGCAGGAGAAGTTCCTGAGCGGTGAAGACTCGGAGCACGTCGACTATGCTGTGATCGATGACAACGCTGCTCTGGACGATCACTGGCTCCGTGAGGTGTCTCACGAGGCCGAAGAGAAGTACTTCGAGGAGGAGGATCTCTGATGAACAGGTTCTTTGAAGAGATTCTCGTGTACATAACTTAACTGGCAGCTTGTTCCTGTGTAACTCTTTTAGCGTGTTCTTTTGCAGCGCAGGTGCGCTGCGAAGTTGTGTATTAAGTTAAAAGAGATTGAATCTACAAGTAAGCTTTGTCATTACTTTCCTTGAGCAGTGTCACGCGCGCTTGTTTGTTTGTAAGCCACACAGCTTGGCTATGGCGAGTCTCGCAATTGGACTCTTGCCACTGGTACCTCAGCACAAGCGTCGATTTGATCGGTTTCTTTCTCGTTCTGCAACAGCGAAAAGACTGCTGAAAGTCGCTGCGAGTTCCAGTAATTCCACTCCAAGTGAAAAGGTATCGTTTCTTCGATTTTCATAACATTCTGGCTGCTTCATAGAAGTTTTTCTACAGGGCATAGCAGTTACTCCACAAAAAATCCGCGAGATTGTAAATTCGAGCTCCTTGGCAGCCGTGACATTGCTGCTTGGATGGACTCAGGTAAAATTTTTGTAAGAAAATGTTAATTCTAATTTTTCTACCCAGAGTGCGGGCATTGCTGGAGCGACCGGCAGAGATCTGGTCGATCGAGCGGCGTATCCAGAGTATAGTTTGGAACAATGGATTGTGATTCTCGTGGCGTGGGGCGGCGTCGCATTTTTCTACTTCATCTTCCTACCGGTAGGTACTTCACTCTCACTCGAGAGAACTTACGCAAACCTTTCTTTTATTCTTGGCAGCCAGTGATTTACGCTTATCTCCACACCAGATGGATGAAGCGCAACAAATACGAAGCGTTCTTCCAGTTCTTCATCGTCTTTGCTTTCTTCCCAGCGTAAGGACTTCGTTCTTCCTTTTGCCATCCATGTTTCTAATGAATTTTTGTGGATTCTCGTGCTTGTAGATTGCTTCTATGGGCTCCATTCATAAATTTGAGGCCTCTTCCCACCGATCCCACAAAGAAATACCCGTGGGAGTGACGAGCCAAAAAGTGTAAGATAAGCTCTCTTTTTAGGGCAAAATAGGATATCTCAAAAGCCCTAAACAGGGAAGGCAAACAGGATATTCCAAATGGAGCTGGGAGGGAATTTTAGGGCTAGAGCAATGCTGTTGGTGCGAGCTCATGCTCGCGCGGTAGCAGGGTATGGGCGATCGGGCAGCGGCAGCTTGTGGAATCGCCGGCGATGGAGCTCAGAAGCTCCGGCGGATCCAGCGCCGCCGCCTCCTGATAGATTGAATTTGGCGGAGGGCTTCGTCAAGGTGTGGGAAAATTTTGCGAGCAGCGTGCGGCTGATTTCTTGATGGTGAGATAGCTCCGGTTTCGTGCAGAGGATGCTAGAGATTGAGCGAGAGGATGGCAAGAAGCGGCTTCTTCGGCTCACTGTGGACAGTGGCGGATGCTCGGGGTTCCAGTATAACTTTAGCTTGGATGAGAAAGCCCAGTCGGACGATCGGTACGCTATGCTTTCTCTTTTCTTCTTTATAAAAACTTTGTGAGAGCATCGATTGCTGCCAGTGTTTTTGAGAAAGATGGTGCGACGCTGGTGGTGGATGGAATCTCTTTCGACTTTGTAAAAGGCTCTACGGTAGATTTTACGGAAGAACTTATGCGCTCGTCGTTTATGGTATGCAAAATCTCTCGAGATCTTCCTCTTTCCGGTTTCCAGTTTTGGTTTTCTCTTCATTTCCCTGATTGCTGGATTGTTTCGATTGACAGGTTACGTCCAACCCCAACGCATCCGCTGGCTGTGGTTGTGGAGCTTCTTTCGTCCGTAAACCATAGATGGTTCTATAATAGAGAAAAAGGAAACGAATTTTGTCCCAGCATTGGTGGAGTCTGAGCACGCGTGTAGATAAGTTTGGATTGACAGTTTGACACTTCTGTGTTGTAGGAAAACTGTCTGGCTTAATGGCAGCAGTTTAGATCCCCTGGCTGCGAAGCAAAGGCAAAAGCTTTTGCCAGATCTTGGAATGGGCTGGAAACAGCTGCGAGCGTCAAATCGAGCGCAGCAGCAGTGTCAGGCAAATTGGCCTGGATCACTCTCGAGAAACTTTGCGAGATCCAGAAAGATCCATGCCTTGATCACAGTAGGAATGCCTCCTTTTTCTCTATCACTCACTCACTTGAGGATTCCTGGCACCTTGACCCAGGAAGAAAGAGAAGTTTTTGGAAGAAAGCGAGACAATAGAGGATGGGTTTGTCAGTTGTTGGCACCTACACGTAAGTACAAGAGTGTGACCATTCAATTCGATTCAATTCCAATCCACAAAGCAAAGATTTCTCCCCATTTTTCTTTTCATTGTCCTATGCTTGTCTGCCAAAGCCAAGCCTACCAACGAGCCCTAATTTCCAGCAACTGATAAACCCTAATGTTTTTGTCGCCCGCCAAACTAGCTAGCCGCTATGATGGCCGCAAGTGGCAGGCAGCAACGGTGCCACGTTTTAGCGCCCTCCCGGCCAATGAGGCTTTAGTGTTTGATATTGCGCATCCAATGGCCACTCGTTTAGATCTGCATTTCTGACACGTGTATGCGTATATGTATTAGATTGGCCTATGGCCATGCATGGGGCCAAATTCCATGGCCATGGCAACTAGCACATAGTCGCGAGCGTAGCTAGCCACAATTTGGTGAAGCGTGCTAGGGATTTTCTTTCTTTTGTGCTAGGAGTGGGAAATATTTTCCCTTTGGCTAGGTTTTCGATCCGGCGCGCCTTGGTGGATTTCATGAGAAGCGCGCGCGATCTCGGCAGCGTCGATGATGTCCAGCGCCTGGGGATACACGGATTTGAGCAGCGGAGGAGTGCCTTGGGCGCAGGTGAGTCCGTGTGCTCGATTTTCTGTCCGAAATTTCGAGTCCTGGGAGTGAGATCGCAGTGCTTGACTGTCTTGGCAGACCGGAATCGCGGGTAATCGTTGCGATTGCGACAGCTTTGATCCTCTCGAGCGTGCGAGGAAGATTGGCGGCTGGGATGATGTCCCATACGGCACAGGAGGGGGGTCTTTCCCTGCAGCAAAGGAGGTGGTGGTGGATCAGGAATGTCCGTCGTGGCCTCTCCGGCTTTGCTCGACTACAACGCAAGGATTCCAAGGTGGGATTGAGATGAGCAGGGAGTTCGAAGCACTCGTGTCAGTGCCGGAATCGTTGACAGCTCGATCGAGCTCCTCGAGCAGCAATGTTGCGAGCACGAGCGCTGCTCGCTTCGACTCGTTCCTAGACGAGAATGGCGATGCCAGTGTGGCCACAAGCTCTTGCCACTTTCCTTTGTCCGAGGAGTGCCTTGGACAAGCTCCCTCGTACAAAGAAGTGGCCGATGGCTGGGACGCTATCGGCTCCCTAGCCGACATGGACGATTTCCTGGGGTACGTAACTTCCTCGTTTTACTTACTCGTGAGTGATGAGTGACAAGCTTATTGCATGCAGACACAATCCACCATTTGGGCAAGCCAACTCTTTGGAAGTCCAGAGCCAGATGATGCCGCCAGTGCCGAGAATCTCTCCCGAAAGTTGCAAAAAGAAGTTGGTGCGTGTTTTCCTACGTGCTGGTTTCTCAGTCGCGGGAATAACTATCTGCTTTGTTTTTTCCCAAACCTTCGAGCAGCCTATTCTTATCCAGCATGAGGCAACGTCTGCAAAAAGGTTGAAAACGCTGTCGCCATGGATCTCTGGAAAGCCTTCACAAAGACATACGTTTCACCAGGAGTTTAACTCTCCGGCCTTGCCCGTCGTGGAGCCGCAGGGAACGGCGACCGCTAGCAGCATCGAGCACCTGCTTCTGCTCCAAAGGGCCATGAACTACAACGGCGCCATCCAAGCTTCCAACTCGGTGCTCGGTGGGGCATATAATTACGCAGCACCGCCTGCTTTTGGAGACGGCTCTCTGGAGGCCTCCGTACTCTACCAGCTTGGGTGCACAATGTCCAAGGTACTAAACTTCCCTGATCTTGATGACGGAGGAGAGCATCCCGTTTTTTCTTCTTTTCGCTGTCACAGCTGGACGTCAGCACAAGGCTTTGCATCCGAAACGCTCTCTACCGTCTCGCCACGAGTGCCTGCCACAGAAGCGGAGACGAGGGCGTGAGCTCCATCGAATCTTCTGCCAAGAGGTACGTCCGGGGTATCGAAAGTTAACGATCGGTACGAAAGATCGTGTGCTCTGTTCGCCAGGCCCGGTGGCATTCCCTGCTTGGAGACATGCACGAATCCAATCGACCGCACGGTGGCAAGCCTGCTGTTTTACAAGCCGGAAGCAGACACTACTCAAGACGGGTCCGTGTCTCCACAGTCGACGGTGGTCTCATCAGAAGGCTCCTGGATCCAGCAGCCAGTGGCAATGGCAGGCGTCACACCGCAAGCCACACTTCCGCGCTGCGCTGGCTACTTCGCGCGAGGGGTTTAAGGACACTCCGCGCGAGGGGTTTAAGGAGGGGGTGGCACACACAGGTCAAAGGAGAGGCGAAAGGAGTGGGGTAGAAAAACAAGGCGGGCCGCGCGGTGAATACATAGCAGGGGGGCCGGGGGTTCTGGGTTCAGGGTTTAGGGTTTATAGAGCTCGCGAATGCAGGCTGCTGGGTTGGTTCGTGGGCTGGAACCAGCACTAGTGGGCGACGACTTTGGCTTCTTCTCGGGCGAGTGTGAAGTGGCAGCGGCATTTCACAACCCGTTTGTAGCGGCAGCAGTTGCGCACCGGGATGCTGTTGCTGCTGCAGCTGCTCCTGGTGCGGCTACATTCGCTAACGTCTTGGCGGCCGCCAAGAGGATAAGGCTGGGTGAGAGGTGCTGGGGGAGCGGCTTCGAGGAGGAGGATAGCGCGCCTGAGAAAACGGTGCGTAGCTCTTGTCGCTCGGCTCCTCTCCTTTCTCCTTTGCTTTGCTTTGCTTTCCGTCCTCCTTGCTGCTTTCTCCTGGGATAGGATTTGGTTCTTGAGTCGCTCGCATTAAATTAGTAGCCCTTGAGAGTGACGATTGAGTGGATGGCATTTCTCTTGTGACATGACTTGAATGCTTTCAGAGAAGTCAATCTTGCAGACGAAACGCTGTGAAAGAAAAAATAAAGGGACCGGTGGAAGGAAGGAATGCTCCCAAGTTTTTGGGACGGGTCCGGTGGTTATGTACTGCCAAAGTACGCTTCCGAGCCATCCAGTCCGGTGTGCATGCGTTAAGAGTGCCGAAGGTGCTCGTTCTTCGTTTGGGTGATGCGGGGGCTTGTCTTTTTCCAAGAGCTGCTGGGCTTTTCTAAAGTGCTTTGCTATGGTTTTGGCAGGCTCGGGTCCCTGAACCGGTTCCCTCGAATGATGACGATTGGGACAAGGAGCTAGCACCGGAAGATCTCGAAGAGTTTGTACTCTCGGCTTTGTCACCAGAGGCGCTCGACAACGGGAAGCCTGACATCGAAAATGCTACTGGTGCTAAAGGCGATGCAGGAGTTGTTTCGGCAAAGCCAGGCCTGGACAGGGGGCAGCAAAGTCACAGCCATAGCCAAACTGGCGTCAGCAGCTCTGAGAGGATAAAAGGGAAGGCAGCAGCAGTAGAACCCGAGCTTTCCGCAGGTGCTCTGGTTCTTCAGGAGCTGGAGACGGTTGTCTCGAAGGTACGCCCCTTGCGGCTTTAAAAACCATTGCACATTTTTTTCATCTATGCCCGATCCTTTTTTACAGCTCGAAAGCCGGAGCAGACTTTGCTTGAGGGACGCGTTCTACAGGCTCGCAGACAATGCCACGCGAAGAACCGGAGTTCAAGCCGACGCAGCGGAACTCCAGCGCTTGTCGTGGCGCACAGCATCCTTGTCCCTGAGGTACAAACACCAACCCCGTCTCTTTTCTTTTCGTTCTCTCGCATTTCCAGTTTCCTGGTACGTAACGCTCGATCGAAAACCAAACAGACAGGAGCTGTCAACTAATACGATTGATCGATCCGTCGCGAGCATGCTCTTCTGCAAGGAATCTCCCCCTCCACCTCTCCCGCTCCCGGCTCCCTCCTCGCCGCCGCCTCTTCCTCCACTTCCTCCGCGGCCGCGTTCTTCTCCTGGTCGTCCTCTTCGTCCCAAATCCTCAGCTTCTTCGAGCAGTAGCATTCCAAAGAAGCAACACCAACACCATCAAGCTCCGCTGGGCAACAACACCAACAAGAAGTTGTCGCTGGCCCCAGCTCACAAGCATCGTTGTGCTGGATCGACCAGCGTGCTACGAACAGCCACGACATTGCGAGCGACGCCGGCGGCGATCCCAGGAGCAGCTGCCAGGAACACCAAGAGTTTGATACTACTCCCGCCATCAGCGGCCACCAAGCGAAGATCGCCAAATGCCACTACTACTTTTACTAGTACTAGTACTACTACGACGACTAACAAACGAGGCAAGCTCTGAGGGTGGCGAAGAAAAAAATAAAACTGCAGACCGAATTTGGGTCGCTTGACTTTGTCAAGTAAAGATGTTTATCGAGAATATTCTAAAATGTTACGAATATGGCCTTTTTCCCCCAAAACTGTAAGCAAAACTACGGCAGTAAATATAAAAGTATTTTCTTGTAACCTAATGCCACTGGCCTAGGTGGCACTCTTCCCGTTTGTGCCGTCTGGAATATTCAATAGAATGTTCCTTTGTTTAAATAAATGTTCTTTTTGTTTGGTATATTCTGTTTATGGAGCAAAAGGAAGATGCTTGAGCAGAGATGGAGTAGATGCTTTGGGAGAACTACGCGTCGGCTCTTCGATGGTGCGCCAAGACCAGGTCGCTCGCCCAGGGAAAACGAATCCATTGGGCGCTGATCGAGGAATTGGGCGACCATCCTGGCGCGCTCTTGGGGAATCTCTTGATCGGCATGTATGGGAGGTGTGGCTGCTTGGGAGAGGCTCGCGAGGCGTTTGAGAGGTTGAGCGAGAGAGATGGGTCGTCCTGGGACGCGATGCTGGGAGCGTATGCCCAGAATGGGGATGTGGGCGGTGCTAGGCGGTGCTTCGAGACAATGCCGACGAGGTCCAGCGGCTCGTGGCGCGGTTTGCTGTGGGCATTGGCGCGCAGTGGGCGGGGAGGCGAGGCGATGGAGATGCTCAGCAGGATGGATCAGGAAGGCGTGGAGATCCAGCTCGCAGCGCTCGCCGCCGCCGTGAGCGCGTGTAAGAACCTCCAGCAAGGGATCGCCATTCACGAAGAGATTGCTACCCGCGGAGTAGAGTGGGAGGCGATTCTTGCAACAGCACTTATAAATATGTTTGTTAAGTTGCGTTGCTTGCAAAGAGGCAAGGATTTGTTTGATAGAGTTCGCCCTTCCAGCCCAGTGGCGTGGACAATTCTCATTGTAGCAAATGCCCAAGAAGGGCATCTTGATATAGCGCAGCACCTCTTTAGATACATGCCAGAAAGAAACTTGATCTCATGGACAAGTATGATCACAATACTTGCAAGAGCCTCCCAAATCCACGAAAGCTGGAGCTACTTCCAAAAAATGCCAAGCCGAAGCGTAGTCTCTTGGAACGCTATCATTGCAGCATTTACCTTAACAGGGCATCCATGTCAAGCACTAAAATGCTTTGGAGAGATGGACCTTGACGGCGTGGAGATGGATTCCATCACCTTCGTATGCGTCATGGACGCTTGTTCCATCGTGGGCGAGTTACAAATTTGTAAAATTCTCCATGCCGGGCTCGTGGATCGCGAGATC